TTACATTAGCATATAAGTATATTGCATTCAATACAGGTGCATGTAGTATATTGACATATACCCAAGTGAGCTGTGGATGTGAATGCTACGTATTTATATAAAGGTATCACTTAATATAATTGTGATTAAATTTATAACATTATATAATACATGAAAAGGACTGCTTCTAGCAGTGCCAGTTTTTAAATGATAGACCAACTGACAGAGCCCAGAAGGCACTGGAGTAGAGGTCTAGGAACAAGAAGGTATTAGCTGTGTGTAGCTGAGGAAAAAAGACCAAGGGAGAATATGATAAAGTTTCATATATTTGAGAAGTACCTAACAAGATGCTACAAAGAAGGGCATATCACATCTATTGTGAAAGTGAGGGTTACTGGTTAACTAAAACCTTTCTAACTGTAAGGTTTCTGTTATGAAACAGAATAGATTGCTTAATGAGGTTGTATAATCAAATCTTGGATATAGTTATGAAAAGTTTAAACAAGATTGTGTTGACAATGGTTTGGTGATAGTTGATCCCTTCTTAGGCCAAAGAGACAAAATATTCTCTCAATTCTCCTCACTCCCTTTGCACACTGTTCTATTTTGAATAATTTTCTGATTTTTTTGGTAGACTGATTTAAATGACCTACAGTCATGAAGGTACAGATTTGACTGGTTTGTACGTGAAATTTTGTTTGTTGCTCATTAAAACACATAGATCACTACAAATTTTACTGTGGATGCACCACAGTAGAATCACAGAATGGTTTGTATTGGAAAAGACCACTAAAGGCCATCTAGCCCAACCCCCCTGCAATGAGCAGGGACATCTTCAAACAGATCAGGTTGCTCAGAGCCCTGTCCAAACTGATCTTGAGTGTTTCCAGGGATGGGTCATCTACCACTTTTTGGGCAAGCTGTTCCAGTGTTTCACCACCCTCATCATAAAATATTTCTCCCTTGTATCTAGTCTAATTCTCCCTTTTTTAAGTTTAAAACCATTGCACTTTGTTCAATTGCAAAAAAAAGTCTGTCTCCATCTTTTTTTGTAAGTCCCCTTTAAGTACTGAAAGGCCACAATAAGGTCTTTCTGTAGACTTCTCCAGACTAAACAATCTGAGATTTCCTATGATGCTGCAATATTTCCACTTACTATGGGGAAAGTGCTGTGATGTACTAGCTACGTTTGCATGATTACAACTGTGCTGACACTGGGAGCAAGGATATTGCCTTTTACTTTAGTAGTGTAGTTAATGTATTTGTGTGCATAGACTTGAAGATTACTTTTGTACTGCCTATGTTATGTAAAGAGGTTATAGTAAAAGTTGGCCTAAGGAAAGATTATGTTTTCCCAATTCAGTGCACAGATGAGAAGAAACATGGTGCCTACCACAGTGGGTTAAAATATAAATTCCATCTTTCAAGCAGCTCAAGGAATTGTTGGTAAGGGTGATATTTTATCTTAGCAGGGAATATAGAAACTATTGGTTGCACAGTTTTTAATAACAAGTGTTGCTTAAAAACATGGTTCTGTTCAGAAATTCTTTTGAAAAGACTCAAGAAAAACATTTAAAAAAAGGCAGATAATGGGTGAAAATAAATTGCTCAAGCAGAACTAACCTTAACTATGGAAAAACCTGTCTCTGTTTAAAAACAAAGACATAAAATTATTGGAAAGAAAAGGGGAATAATACAGCTGCAAAAGAATTTAGTGTAGATTTTGCATTGAGAGCAGTCTTATTAGCAGATAAATTTTAAAATAAAATTTTATTGGCAAACGCATTGGATTACAAATGAAAGCTGATATTAAATTACCAGAAGGTAGAATCTGGCTTGGCTGTATCTGAATTCTCACATACTTAGACTATGAATGGCAAACCAAAAGTCATATGCTTCTGCCTTAACACAGTAAGTGAATATCACAGTACCAATCCCTCCTGTTGAATGTCCATTCAAAATTCCTGCTTTATGGGCCCAAAAATATAGTTAGTTACTTTGTGTTATTCACAGACAACATGGTGTCTCCAAAACATAGGTAGAACTAAATTCTTACTATATTTAGTAAAGATCCTGAGAATTGGAGCCTACAGGCTGCTATGAGTGGAGCCAAGTTGTGACATTCAAAGGAAGAGATGACACAGTGTGATACCTGAGACTATGGTCATTTTTAACTGAGTATTCTGCAGCTAAAGCTTGCAATGAAAAATTGCCATTGATGTTAGTCAGCTGGCAGGATTGAGTCTATGCAAGTCTATGCAGAAGGAAAACCAGATTTTTTATGTTCTGGACTAGATAAAGACAAATATCTTAGTTTAATCTCACTTGGGAAAAAGTGTAGTGGCACAGAAGACTCCAGTCTCTTTGCGCAGGTGGTGAAAACTGTTGCTGTGATATCTCTTTTCACAAATATAACAGCAAGATTAGTTGAGGATGTTACTGAAGGAAGAAGAGACATCATAATGCAAGGCAATGTGGAGATGACACCAAGCTGTGTGGTTTAGTTGATACACTGGAGGGAAGGAATGCCATCCAGAGGGACCTCGACACGCTTGTGAGGTGGGCTGATGCCAACCTCATGAAATTTAACCATGCCAAGTGCAAGGTCCTGAACCTGGGTCGGAGCAATCCCAGACACAGCTACAGGCTGGGCAGAGAAGAGATTCAGAGCAGCCCTGCGGAGAAGGACTTGGGGGCACTGGTTGATGAGAAAATGAACATGAGCTGGCAGTGTGCGCTTGCAGCCCAGAAAGCCAACCATATCCTGGGCTGCATCAAAAGGAGCGTGACCATCAGGTCAAAGGAGGTGATCCTGCCACTCTATTCTGCTCTCGTGAGACCTCACTTGGAGTATTGTGTGCAGTTCTGGTGTCCTTAACATAAAAAGGACATGGGACTGTTGGAACAAGTCCAGAGGAGGGCCACGAGGATGATCAGGGGACTGGAGCACCTCCCATATGAAGATAGGCTGGGAAAGTTGGGGCTGTTCAGCCAGGAGAAGAGAAGGCTGAGTGGAGACTTCATAGCAGCCTTCCAGTATCTGAAGGCGGCCTATAGGGGTGCTGGGGAGGGCCTCTTCATTAGGGACTGTAGTGATAGGACAAGGGGTAATGGGTTAAAACTTAAATGGGGAGTTTAGATTGGGTATAAGGAGGAAATTCTTTCCTGTTAGGGTGGTGAGGCACTGGAACGGATTGCCCAGGGAGGTTGTGAATGCTCCATCCCTGGCAGTGTTCAAGACCAGGTTGGACAGAGCCTTGGGTGTCATGGTTTAAAGCGAGGTGTCTCTGACCATGGCAGGGTGTTGGAACTTGATGATCTTAAGGTCCTTTCCAACCCTAACTGTTCCATGATTCTATTCTATGATTCTATGACTCTATGATTTTAAGCTGATCAGGAAGCTTTATGGTGCATTTTTGAGGACAGTCAGGTAGTAGGCTAAATAGTCTGGAATTGCTATTCCACCCTGCACTGATTATAGAGAGTGCCTGGGTTCCTGATGTGAGTATTTCAGCTTGGAAATTGGAGTGAAAAGGGATGAATCCAAGCCATTATGATCAGCTAGGTAGGATTCAACATGGCACAATTCATTCTTAAACTATTTTGCTAATTATAATGATTTGTTGTAGTTCTTATATAATATAGTAATGGGTTTAGAAAAAAAAGCCCTATTTGGATCATTTAGTCAGTGGTGGAAATGAGATTTAGGAGAATAATTTGAAACAATTTATTGGGGGATTTTTGTCATTTTCTCTGTTCTGAATTATCCATGAACATAACATTGTTCTGGAAGTTGTTAACTATCATGGGGCAGATCTTTGATTTATTCACAGTTACAGGTCTGGTAAGAGCTGACAAATGTCCATGGCAGCTTTCTTCCAGGATCTTTGATAGAGCAATTAAGTTATTTAAATAATGTCATAGAGGAAGGCTCTGTAAGGCACCACCCAAAATAACAAATGTCACATTTTGGTGGTATGGAAAGTTTGACAAGTATTATGGCGAAGGGGTATATTAGTAAGCCATTACCGTACCAGAAATTAAAGGCAAAGAAAAATATGTCCTTGTGGAGGAATAAAAGTGATTTCTGTCTCAATTTACTAGAGAGTAGACTTAGAAGCTGTGAAGAAGAAGACTGTGTGCTCTAAGTTTGGAAGCATAGGAGTGTAATAAAGAAACAGGCATGTCTGTATGAAACAGAACCTTTGACTTGTTTTCTATTTTCTTTTTTTCATGTGAATAGGAATGACCTATCAGAACTTCAAAATACACTGGAACAAGTGGGACATTATTTTGTCAGATGGAATTTTCCAGTAGTTATTATTCCAGCGTCTTTGAAAAGAACTAAATTGCTCAAAGATTTAATTCCTTCCCCTTAATATATTTGGTAAATTATTTGAAAATCTGTTTTCAGAGGTCAGATTATTATTAATCTTTTTTTTTACCAGATTTTTTTGACAGTGATTTTAGTACCTGCTTATTGGTAAAAATACTCCAGATATTTTTATTTTGATTTGTATTCTGTAAGAACTTATCTTCATTTAAAATTCTCTATTTGCACAAAGATTTCTTCAAGTAAACTAATTTCATAGAATATTTACAGGAGGTAAATGCAACAAGGTCATGAAAAGAGTCCAAATAAGTTAACTTAAAAATGAAAACAAAAACAGTAAATGCCTGGCCTTGTTTTCCCTGTGCTGATGAAGTTGCTAAATGAGAACAAAGCTAGTAGTGATCGATACAGTAATTACTAGACCCATCCTGCTCATTGTGATGAACGGCTGTTTATCTACCTTTTCACTGACCTTTGTGTATGGCCCTTTTACCAGTTTCCCATCTGTATGAAAGTACTTCTAATCCAGAGCAATTGAAATTAACCTCTCCTTCAAGATTTCATTGGCCACTGTAACAAATGTTAGTCTTTTATGATCTTGAGAATATATTGCAATACATTTATAACATTTTCCTCATCTGTTAATTTCAGCTAATTTTGATAATTGTCTATTTCTCATATGGTGCTTTGAAAAATGTAAAGAAGTTCTACACACAGCACTGTTTTATTGGGTTGGAACCATTGTGTCTTTGCAATGGCATAACTCAGATGAAGAAATTTACTTAAGGATAGTTTTTTATATGTATAGACTTGTATGGAATTTTATCTGTGAGAATACAACTATTTAAAAAAATAATCAAGATCTATTCTTGAATTAAATGCCATGAAGGTAGGTTTGGATTCAGAGATTAGAATTCCTTTTTTTTTTTTTTTTTTTTATGGATTTAGCAGATTTAGTTAGGCCTTAACATACCTGATAAACAAAACAGGAATTGAAAAATTACCTGGATGTGCCTGTGAAACACAAGAGAAATGCTAGCCTGGGAAATAACCCAATGCTGTATAAGAGTAGTATGAAAAGAAGTAGGAAGGGGTTTACTCTGCTCAGAAAAGACACATGCAGTCTACAGAATATAAACCTTGAGCCCTGATTTCTATCATCATCATCATTACTTAGTTCCTTTTTTTCTATATATTTTTTTATTTGTCAGCTGTCTCTTTGGGCATCTTCATGAGCTATGAAATAATACATTTTTCACTCACACTGGGATAATTGGTCTTACTCCTTTCTTTTCAGTGTTTCTTCAAACAAATGGATGGCAAAAGAAAAAGCATCCATTGTACAAAAGGCTTTTTTGAGGATTCAGTTGATTTTAAAGAACAAGCTATTGTAGTCACTGCAATGTACTTTTGCCAATGAAGAAAATCATCATTCTTGTACCATCATACTAAGGAATAAAATAAAGCTCTTTTTAAGAACTTCTGTGAGCTGGCGAGTTCATCTTCATTTACTATATCACTTTTTTTCACATCTCCCAGCAAAACCATAAGCATCTCCATGAGGTTTTCTCAGTATAATTTGCTTTATTTTTGTTTGTTTTAGAAAGTGGGATATTAGCATAGACATTGTGTCCAGATACTCCTGTTGTCAGGTTTGTGGCTCTGTGTATGACTAGTCATTTTCTAAACATCTCTTCCCACATCTTATGATGAGACGGCTGGTTTTAAAGTGGTCAACATGCTACATGTGTTCAGAATGCATGAAAAGCCTTATCTCTTTAAAAGAACAGCTGTTTTATGACAACTTAAGAAGGTCTTCTGCGTGCAAATGCTATTTCCCTTGCTACAGCCAGGTTCATGTACTGGCTAAAAATTGTGCTTTATTTTTGGTACTGAATCTCAGAATTTGATGCCATCAACCTGTGGGATGTAGGCTGTCCAGTTTTGTTAGGAGCATCTCCCCCATTGCCTAGCTCCCCTAACCAGTGTTCTGTGAAGAAATGTGTCCCTTCACATCTTTCTCTCACTCTAATGTCTGAAGCAGATCCTCCTTTAGACTGGGCCATCTTCAAATGGTAGTAATAACTATTTTTACACTAGGCTGAGCAAAAAGACCAGATCCAATTAGCAGCAAAGTTTGATTGTGAATATGAATTTGACACTAATCTTACAGTTCATTCTTCTTTTATTTCTTCAGCCCCTGTTCATTCTTGAATGCCAGTTATTTTTTATAGTTGTAGGAGCCTCGAATATCCTGTTCCTATAAATGCCATAGAACAGCTTTACCCAATCAGGTTGACAGCAGTCTGTCACTTTTTCTCTTTGAGCTGAAACCCTGAAGGCTAGATTTTGCTCTCATGTTTTGTTCACATCAGCCTTTTTTCCACATAGGAGTTCAAAAATATGCAGAGAAGAAGCCAAAGTTAAAAAGGAACAAAACCAATAATGCATTAAGAAATCTCCCTGCTACATATTGTTAAGGTGACATACCTAATATTTTTATGTAGCCCTGTGCTGCTACATATCCAGAAATCCAAATTTACTTAGACTCAGGATAAGGAAACAGGTAGCTTCCACTTTACTGAACAGGACCTTTGAATCAGTCTTCGAAGCAACTTTAAGTCTGATCTGTTCCCATTTGGCTCCATTCCCAACCTTCAGGATTCACAACACCAGGCTTTAATTTCCAGATTACATGTCACACTGAATGGACTCATAGGTTTATTCTCCTATTTGAGGGGATAGAAAGCATTAGTCACATGTCTGCTCAGCTGGGAAAAAGAAAAAAAAAAGAAAAAGAGAAGAAGGAAGTCTGAAGTTATTAATTGTAAAAGCAATTAATTTCCTAAGCTTGCTACTTTCTTCACCTCCAGATAGCATGCTTGTTTAGATTGGTTTTATTGTCTTAACTGAGAAAGTATGGGCCATCCATGTCTCTCTGTTATGCTATAGGTGGTGGCACCTGATTTTCTTCATTGTCTCTTATATTACAGTGAATGGTTAATCCTGCCAAGCTCAACTGAAATCCTTGCTCAATGGCTTCTCAGCTTCAGCATTTTGTGGAGCAATAATTAATATTTGTTGGGGGAAGCAGGTGGGGAATTGTAGAGTTCTTCATGTGAGCTTTTATTAGCATCATCACTCACACATTGTAATGAAGCAAAAGTGATTCTTCTTGGAAATTGTTCCCAGTGTGATCACAATTATTAAATACCATCATTGCTTATAATAATTAAACTTTTATTATCTAGGTTCCAACCCTGTCAATTTGGTCTCCCCTGAGAGCCTGTTGTTTCTTAGCAAAAAGCTGTGAGGGGATGTGATGTGAATAATGCCATTTTCAAATATACATTGTGATGAAGAAACAGCAGGGCTACTAATTGGAAGTGATGAATTTCCTAGTGATGGACAGGCAGAGGAGACACTGATGGCTTGAAAGATACACTGAAAGTTGGTCCCTTTGTGATATGGATATCTTCATTCAAGCAGTGCTGAGCATAATGAGATGGGCCATCTTAAATGAACTCATGCACTAAGTTTAACTAAGCAGAATAATTTGGACCTCAATCAAGGACAGGTGAAGGAAGTCCCTGGAACCTGGAGGGTAAAGTTTTGAAGGAATCAGAGACAAAGCATTTGGGATACTAACTCAATAAGAATCTATGGTTAGCTTTTGCTTAGACTACTAAAAACAGTAAGTGAAAACTGTTGCTTGCCATATTCAGGTAATGATCTTTTACAGATCCCGAAGATGAGATCAGCAATGTTTTCTGCCATCAAAATAAACTGTATGGACTTAGCAGAGGAATCTGGTTTAAGAGGTAACAGGCAGTTAGGTCACTAACTCAGCATTTCTGGCTACACTTTAGAATATTTGATAGAGCTGTTAGAAGTCCTGAGAAATGTGTAGACAGCATCTCTGTAGAAGAACACGGAAGTGCACTGTCAAGTCTATGGAAAATGTGCAGTGTTTGCTTACATGACAATAAAATCTAGGTACACTGAAACCAGGAACTGACTCATGATCTTGATTTCAGTCTCTCACTTTAACATTGTCAAATTAGAACAATAGAGAAAGTCTTCCAGGCAAAATCATCAGTGTTTTCTTTTTGTAACATGGAAATAAAACAGCAGTTTCTAAAATATGACATAATGAGGTTAATGATAGCACTGAAATGGACACATTAAAATAATATTGAACATGTGTCAGGATAGATTAGCAAACTCTTCTGTTTCTGTTCTATGTGCCAAAATATAATGCTAAACTCATAACTATCTAGTAATTTGTTTGTTGGAGAGAAAATCAAGCACAAATTTCCTCAGTTATCGCTGCTACGCTGCAAAGTATAAATACCAGCCAACATTGTTAAAGGAGGATCATAAGTATACTCCTTTTCTTATTATTACTCATTATTTGCACTCCTGTAAAATTCATGCTCTCAGTTCCACTGCCTGGCCTTGTACAGACCTATCTGAAGATATAACCCTTGCCTCAAAGCAGCTAAAGAACCTACACCTTGCTTCTTCATTTTATATAATTGAATTTGTTAATTTCAGTGGAATTCCATGCAAAGCTCTGTTTGCAGGGCAAAAGCTGAAGAATCAGGACTTGAGGAAAAGACATGATGAACGGATATGAAAAGCAATGAGAGGGAAAAGAGCCAGTAATGAAAGTAATAGAGTTCTATGTTTGCCTAACACAGCTATGTTAGCTATGAAGTGGGATAATTTAGGTTCTGCTGGAGTACAAAAGATCGCAACCACAGAATACTCAAAGATAATATCTTTCACATCTTCTATTTTCCTCTTAGGAGTTTTCATACAGTTCTCTCCTACATATTTAGGATCATTAAAGTCAAGCACTTCTCTCTAAAGGCTTGTTGAGTTGTTCTGATGGGAAAAAAAAAAAAGAAAAAGGCACCTCTAGAGTATTGATCTGACCTCAGACTTGGTGTGAAAGAGCACTGACGTGTATCTCACATCGAAAATGATCAAGGTGATGTGAGGCAGGTTCACATACAAGGTTTTCACATTTCATTAGATGTGAGTGGAGAGGGGTAACCTACTTAGGTTTTAGGAATTGGGGACAAAAAGCAGGTAGTGATATTTCTAGCACCATTTATTTGGTCATTGAACTGGTTTTGAGTGTCAGCAGTTTAGTTTTCATTTACATTCTTTCATATTCTGATCACTTACACCTACATAAGAAAAGAAACACCTCTTTATTTCAAGAACTTCCATTTTCCAAAAGAGAGAGAATAGATCCTGAATCTGAGTAAAGCCTGGATTTGCAGGTTTTTAGGGCAAGAACACCCAAGAATAAAACCTCATTTGGCTTCTGTAACATCCTGTGTGATGAGCTTTTCTCTATTCACTGTGACTTCATACACATCTCAAAGAAAGACAAAAACCAGTTCAGGTCCCTGATAGTGCAGTTCTATGTTTTTACTTTGGTGGTTTAGTTTACCCTATTTTGTCTTGTTTAATTTGAAATCAGTACTTTCTTGGAAATTGTTCCCTAACAGAATTTTTGGTAGCTTTAGCTTGATACCTAAATAGACTTAATTTTTCACCTCTCAACAGATTTGATGAAGGACATGAGCAGTGCATTTACCCTATAAAGGCACCCTATCCCAAATTAGGTACCCTATCCCAAATTTGTGCCTACAATGCTCTATCTCCCCTAAAAAGTACTTACATGTTGTGAATACTGCAAATCGTGGTTTAAAACTCCTTTGTCACTTGAAAGTCTTGTTTCTTCAATTTGACGAACAAAACAGCCTGTGATACAGTTATATACCTAGGCCTAACTGGGACTGAGAAATGAGCCACTGTTTTATGCTTTATCTAGATTTCAAAACTTTTCTATTTGGGGAATAAGGGTCACAGGTGTCTCTTTGTGCTGATCTCTGTGACTCCCCACACAATTAAAATAAGTGTCAGATGTAGCCCAGAGCCCTTCCAGAGCACTGTTAGTCCCTGCAGCAAGCACGTCTGACATCTCTCACCATCAGGTTCAATCTACTTTGGATATGTACACACTTCGTCTTTACTACTGATTTCATGTCAAACCAATAATTAAGCATTTTAGCTAAATAACTAAGCATGTTAGGTGGGATAAAGTTCTACATCTTGGATTCTGGGTGCAGACACTTTCCTAAAGTTCAGAAAAATCATTTAGTAAGGGCAAGAAGGGCAAAATGATGTGTTCTGTGGTATAGTAAATTCAGATTACTTTTTAGTCAGGATGATGGGTATTTTGAATTCTTACCTCAGGTATCTATCTCTTCCTTTCTGCTGTGCAGATCTTACTTAAATAGTGATACACAGGACCCTTATTAAAGCCAATACCATCTTGCAACTCACCTCCATTACCTATCGTTTTCAAACAGGGTATGTCCATATTCAGTGAGCCCAAAGGTCACATAAAACATCAGAACTAATTTCTTTTTTCTTTAGCTTACTAGCTAAAAAAGAGAGAATGGATA